TCTTCAAATTTAGAATTAAAAACTAACGAGCCAAAATAAAATACACTTAAATTAATGTACTCACTATTTATTTTCCAAAGCCACAAGGAGCCGCAGCAGAGGTACCAAAGAGCCGCTTGCGGCTCCGGAGCCGCGGGTTGCCGACCCCTGATCTACAGCATGTACTCACAAAAACAACAAAGTGGGAATCTTAGCTCTGCCTAAATTGACCAAAAACAGCACTTTAAAGTTGACTCTGATGACAGAAATAGACCTTTTAGTTGCATTAAGAAGGTAAATAATAAGTTTGATCTTGCTGTACATGTCTGCTGGTGCTGCTACCTTCTGATTCTTCTGAGAAGTGATCATTGTCAGGATCCGACTCTTGGCAGTAGTCTACCACTGGTGCATCTTAAGGTATAGACTGCAACAGTTAAGAATTAATAGCTCTTTCACCAGCATTCTACATATTAAAAGAATTGCAATTTGTTAAATGTCTTGCCATATTGTGAAAGACGTAATTAAAAAAAACACAGAAATCAATGCCATCAGTGTAGTCATAGAAACAATTAGCTTTCAGTCATTTAATTCACCCAACTATGACAGAATAACAAATAAATTCTGTTGTTTGGTAAAAAAAAAATACACGTGCAACACTCTTTTCATATCTGGATTTTCACCTGGAGGGTCATGGTTGCTGCTCTGGCCCTGGATGCTTGCCTCAACAACACATGATGATGGTCCCTGGCTACATTCAGGCTGACCCTGGCCTTCTCCAGACTCTGTCTGACCTACAGTGACTCTGCTCTCAGTGTTCTGACCTGCTACTGACTTCTTTTTCATAAAAAGTTTTAAATGTCTCCCCTCCGTTTCATTCTCTGTGAAACATATTTATTTATGACGCTCCTTCTCGTCTTTTCTTTGACATCAACCGACATTGGCAAATGTCTTCTCAATCCAAACTAAATGCAAGTACCCAATCAAAAAGCACCTTACGTCTTTGGTGCATTCAGTGGCAGTCGGACAACGACTTTGCGTTCAAGAGCGTCGTAATTCGGAGGTTCTGTATTGGTAATATCAATTTCAAACGAATTATTTTTGGGGGGCACATGGGGTAGCCAATCAGATCACCCCCGTGCCCCCACGGTAGATCTGCCACTGCTCAAAACTACTCTAGTTTTCAAAAAAATCTATGCCATATGCATTAAAATAGCCAAAATGAATTTTAAAAAATCAAAAATGAAAAGGACAAAGTGTCTTTAGTGTTTCATACAGTATTATTATTGATTGATGATTGATTATTATTATTGATGTTGCCATGGTGATGGTGGCGCGCATAGACACAGCGGCCCCTTCAGGAGACAACGAAAGTGAACGTTTCAAGTGTCTTTTCTATCCCAGACGTTCACTCCGCAAAACTTGCAGCCAGGAGACTTTGCTAGGCGTCAGGACAGTGAACGGCACTAAAATTGTGGCTATCAGTTGTGGTTCGGACATACTACACCAACACGGACTCCGATCAGAGACTATGCCAGCAGTTACCCGAGAGACAAGGAAGGGCAAACTGTAGGAACGTAAACAAAGGTGGAGGAAGACAGCCGGGATCCATGCTAGGCTAAAGGCTAACCCCTCCAGACCAGCAGGACCGTCGCTCTTGCTTTCCAATATCTGCTCCCTTGACAAAAAAATGGATTTTCGAGCTACGTTTGCTGAGAGAAACCCGCAGAGATTTGAGGGACTGCTGTGTGTTTGCTTTAACAGAAACATGGCTTAATGACAACATCCCAGACGGACATACAGCTGGAGGGGACGACATTATTCAGGATGGACAGACAGACAGCTAGCTCTGGGCAGCATCTGCGGCTTCACCATCGCCAAACCATCGTGTGTGTCTTTGTGTCCCTGAAGACCTACCAGGACTTGAAGAGGTTCGCCATGTTCAGTGAATGGCGGCATGGATGCAGCGACCCCTTCAGGAGACAGCAAAAGTATGTTTAGTGTCTTGTCTATCCCAGACGTTCATTCTGCAAAACTTTAATGATCCTGAAGAAACGCTCTCTCATCTTGCGTGTACTACTGTGTATGTACAGCAAAATGACAATAAACCTAATTTGATTTGATTTGATTTACATAAACAGTAGATGTATTAATATCTTGATTCCACTGCAGTTACGGCATTCTGCAATTAGGTGGAAATGGAAATATGCAAATAATCTTATTGTCATCTGCTATCGAACAACATATGTTCAAAAATTTCGGCCTACTGGATATTGGCAAAGATCCAGTATTGTGCATTGCTTGTATGTATTGTTGTGGGGGTTTTTTCCCCTCAACAAAAAAAAATGGATGCCAGTGAAGCAACTTTGAATTCAAATATCTCTAGCACACAGGAGGTGAGAGAGAAGGTGGGAATAGTAAATAATGAGATGGAAGAAAATGCTGTAAAATTAATCGAAACAAAATGAAAGGAAAAGGAGGGAGAGTGTGATCAGAAAG